TAACTACTGTATCATACTCTAATTGTGACGACATCCCCCCTTTGAACCACTTGCATGCATGTAGGGCAAGCATACGTCAACCAACCAAATTATGCAATGGCTCATTAAGCTCACAAAGTGAGGTATAAAAAGTAAGTGGGATCTCAGCTGGCCACCCCTTCTCTGTTTAGATGAAAAGTTGCATACAGAATCGACACGCACATACAATGCTCCGAAGGCCCAAGTTGTTGTATTCCAATTCATGGCCTGAAAAATCTGGGCAGGCTGCAACCTACTTGCAGCAGACACCAAAGACCAAAACTCAAACACCAAACATCAAACATCAAACACCAAAAACTCAAAACACCAAATACCAAATACCAAACAAAATGTCAAATGCCAAATACCAAATATCAAATACCAAATACTAAACACCAAATACCCAATACCAAACACCAAATACCAAATAGAAAATACCGAACAAAATGCCAATTGCCAAATACCCAATACTAAACACCAAATACCAAACATCGAACATCAAACAACAAACACTAAACACTAAACAACAAACAACAAACACCAAACACCAAATACCAAACACCAAATACCAAACACCAAATAGCAAACACCAAACACCAAACACAAATTCTAAATACCCAATACCAAACACCAAAGACAAAACACGAAATAGCAAAAATTGACTTGAAGTCAACACCGCTCATGAGCGTCACTCATTCTGACGCCACAAATCGTCGACCAATCAGCTGTCGCCACCCTTGCAGAGCCTACCATTGGATCTGTGGCTGTGGGCCTTTGCACCAATCACAAGCCGACCTACACTTTAGGAAAGAAGACGCCCACTCGATGTGACACCGCAGAACGAGGCTAGCCAAGCCCTTTCGAGTTCGTGGCCTCTCTGGCTGGCTTACGCAGGGACGCAATTATGCACTGTCGAATGAGGCATCATCTGTTCGCATGCAATCGCTCGGTGATGGGTAAGGAACATTAGAAGCATGTGCTGTCAAGTGTTTTTCGACTAGATTAACGTGTCGAGACCCGTGGTGTTTATCGCCTTCGGATGTGGGGTTCGAGCCCTTCCTCCCGAATACCACCCACCTCCGCCACGAAATATCGAGTCGCCAACAGTCGACCTCCAACCTGAGCCAGCGGCACCAAACTGTACCATCTCCGGCGTCAGGTGCGTCGTTGGCGGATGAAACCGAGTGA